TCGGCCTAGGTTTATTTTAACATCTGCAACAATTACAATTTCAACACAATTGTGTGGGGAATACGAAAATACATCTTGGAAGTAGACCTATTTATAAAAAAGACAGATCTAGGTAGGTTGTTCAGTTTTAGCAAACAGGTTCATGTTGAAACAGATAGTGCCCTCATTGCATGAAATATACAATGCAATTAACAGACAAAAAAAATTAAACTATAATGTCATGTGAGGTGATATCCTGAAAGAAATTTTAACTTGAAGTAGAGGGCCTTTTTCTAGTCGCTTTAAAAACATCTATCTAAAATCTATTCCAGGTCAGTGCTCTACTTACAGTGTGTAGGTTGCACTAGTGAAAGGTCATGAATGATGAAAGACATAGCAGGTGGTCCATACTTTGAAGCTATCAATAGACCCCTGAGATGAGAATCAAACAAACCACATACAAGCCTTGTCAGACAGGTTTCAGCACTACAGAAAAGGAAAGTCACATTGGTAAAGTATAATGTGCACACACTGTGTAACATCAGGGCACGGTCAGCAAAGAACAGTAAAAGGAAGAAAACTGAAATATGCCATTTAAATAGTATTTTAAGAAATTTTCATTTGTGTGAAATAAAAAGGTAACACCATTGTTCCTAGCATATTTGCATGCATACAAACAAAGTAATAATCTAAGGTTTATTCCAAAATCGGAAAAGAATAAAACGCAAATTTGTATGCTACATGCTTGGAAGGTGTTTCTGCTAATGCCCTTGAATTAAGGGAAAAATGTTGGTGTTTTGTTATTGCGCACAATCCTGTTGTCATTATACTTATTTAGTCATATACTGTATAAAATACCATTTGTACTATGTCAGATAATACACAGGTGTGGTTAAGTTACCCATTGGTCTCAAGTGTGATTGAAGAGCTTTACATTTTGTGATAAGAGTATAAGAGAAGAAATAAATATCATATGCATTGTTGGTATTGGTTCCTTAAAACTTAAAAGGGGATTATGCTTAAAATGACCCAAAATAGTCAGGGTTACCTTTTTTTTAATATCGCCCACTTCTTAGCTACAGATTGGAAAAGAAAGATGTGACTTTACAAAAGAAATTCAGAGCACTAGATTAGGATGTTCTTGACTTCTGATAAATAATGCACTCTTAAAAGCAACTTCTCCATTACATGATGATATCAGTTCCAATAATAAGACTTTTATAAAAGTAATCCAATCTTGACAATCTAATTATTCGAGCACTGGAAATATGCTTTCTATAATTTCAGATATAAAGGATTTAACAAAAGTATAGACATATAACTTGATAAAAACTCTTTTGCCCATTCATCCATTTCTAAACTGCTTTCCAATATTACATTCTATAAGAGACAGAAGAAGAAGAAGATGACCTTATTAGCCATATACAATTTCTTGAACTAGGAATTTGTCTTTTTGCATACCCCAGCTTGCTCTCCATCAGACACACAGGCAGGGAGAGAATCTTGGGGTCAGAGTGCAGGGTCAACCATTTATATGGCACCCCTGGAGCAGCTAGGGTTAAGGGCCTTGCTCAGGGGCCCAAGGGAGTAAGATGCCTCTGCCGGCTGCAGGATTCAAACCGGCAACTTTCTAGCCACAGGCACAGATCCTTAGCCACAGTGCCACTGCTCTGCCCTTGAGTTGTTGGTTAACTTTTGCAGTTTCTCCTTAATGCAGTACCATATACTGTACAATTCTGTCCTCCTGGAAACATGAAGGTTCTAGATTTTTGTAGTTGTAGTTGTGACTTCAATATATATACAGTATATAGTATATCTTCACAGGCCTTTTACAATTAATAACTGTTGGCTGTTAATTAAATGTCAACCTGCAAATAAAGTGCAAACAAGTGGACAAGGTATATATGCTGATGTATACATTCGAAATTGTTAGAATAAATGTGGTAATAAAAGCTCTCAGGTTAATAAATGTATGCATAAATAGCTACAGGTACAGTATACACCCATATACAGTAGATCTACAAACGGTCACGTTCCATCCATCCATTTTTAAACTGCACAAGGGAGCAGGAGCCTAACACAGCAAGCAATGGGCTCAAGGTAAGATTCACTATGGATGGGAAGCCTGTCCATCAAAGAGAATACACAGACACAAGCAAACAGACATTCACACCAGGGCCAGTTTTACAGGAGCCAGTTAAGAACCAGCATGTCTATGGACTGCAGCACAATACCAGGGCACCTGGAGGAAACCCATGTGAACACAGTAAGAATATATAAACTCCACACAGATAGTAAGAAAGAATAGACAAAATCATTTTATGATATTTTGACAGATCTCATCCGCTTCTCTACTAAAATTGTTCCTTTAATTTTGAGGTATCAAATAACCTAGTTTTTAGGTATAACAGTCTCCTTACCATACAACTGCACATATCTAAAACATCTAAGTATCTAAGACTTTTCAATCAGCATTGACATATTTGCATTTTTATCTATCCAAACAAACCACGGGTCTCCAATAATTTAACTTCCATGTGTGTTTGTCATTGTACCAAATAGATTCATATGAAGTTATTTCACAAAAGAATCTTTGCAAACTGGAAATTAGTAACAATTTGTTGGTTTTCAAAAGTCATAGTAGATCAACTGAAATGCCATTTTGTCTTACTTTCATGTTTTAATGAGCTAAAACGTGATAAGCATTTTATTACAATGAAGCTTTGCTATCCACTCATTAAGAAAATATGTATTTCTTGTTGTTAAACATTAATTAAAACTATATAAAACTCTCATTCTAAAAAATCTAGAAAAGACGGAGAACAAAAGCAAAAGTAAATACGTGTTTGACATGAGCTTTCTGATTGTACTGGAATGCTTAAAATCTTTAATTGCAGATAAGAGCGAGAACAGTATTCTGTTACTAAGGCATGCATCTTACACAAAAACCAATGCATTTTTAGAATAAAAGCATTCTTTATTAATAAATACAATGTTACAGATTTGTTTAAAATGCCCCTTGTAACTGTTCTACCATTGCAAGAGTGTTAAAATTAAATCTGTAATATTACAGCTTAAACATCACACATACAGTAAGTTGCAAAAACCATTATTTGGTTGTTAAAACTTTACATTTAAAGGAATGTATTACCACTTGTTCAGTGCATTTATAGCTTTAATTTTCCATGTGTGGTGCTGCACCTGTAGTGCTTGCAGCATACTAATTTTGTATTACTGTTTGACCCCTGAATAAGAGCAGCTTCATTTATATACTAAGGCTTATGGTCTTATGTATTTATTTCTATTTATAATGCAGCTGTTCTTTGCAGTGAAATGATAGTTTCACTTCAAAGCATGAGTAAAGACAAAAAAATATTGGAGATAACAGGGATGCTTTCATGTACCTTGTTGCTGATTAAGAGTGAGCCCTGGTATGGAAAAGTTGCTAGGGAACCTGAAGCACTATGGTTTTGCTCACAGCTAAACTAGTCACACTTCTCCCAGCAGGGCTGTCTGTGAAGCTTCTGTAACACATAAAAGCACCTTCAAACTGTTCTTGCTTTTACGTACAGTATAAGGAAAGCATGAAAGCAGAGTCAAGAAACTATCAGCACATCACTTTTTAATTCAGAATAAACCAAACATATCTTCCTCCTTAGCTCACCATAACAGCACAGAACACAATGATTTTTGGAAGAAAAATTAGATGTTGAAAGTAGCCAATTAGATGTCTATAAAATTCCTTTTTTCTAACCACTGCATCCAATTTATGGTCACAGAGGAGCTGGGGTCTATCCTGGCAAGCAACAGGTGCAAGGCAGGATACACACTGGACTGGACATGACACCAGTCTATCACAGGGCAGACACACAGTACATACAGTACCATCTCACCAGGGCCAATGGGAGCACCTGGCAAAAACACACAAACTCCAAACAGATAGCACCCTATGTGTGGAATTAAACCCAGAACCCCAGCACCCCTGAGACAATGCTAACTACTGCCCCACTGTACCACCCACCAGTGTCACCATAACTGTTTAAAATACTGGGTACCCTGTGTTATGGATGAAAGGAAAGAAGAAACAAAAAGCAGAAGAATACCTCATCAATAATTTAATCCATACGACCGTGTTATCAACACCAAAAGTGCATGGTGTGCTTCTCTTCAAGAGAATCTGTGAAAACTCCTTAACCAAAGCCAACTGAACTGCAGAAATGATACTGCAGATTAACTTTGTATGAACTAACAGCATCCAGCTTTACAGTACACAGATGGGAAATGATCGTCAGTAAACTAAACTGATGACTTAAAATGATTCAAACTTTCACATGTAACCCGGAACAGTGCAATACTGCAGTCGTTTGATAGAGAAAATAAGAAATACGTATATAATTATAGTTGAAAGAGGTTGATGCCTATTCACAATACAATAAGAAATCAGTCAGAGTGAGAGCTGTCACTATGATTAGTAAGCAGACATTCTATTTTAATGTGTTGCTCAGTATGATAGAAACAGCTGGAGGTTTAGCTGGCTGTAGATAATAAGTGCTGGAGTGATTTTATTTCCTGTGCATAAGGATCGATCAACTTAATAAAAAGTCGTTTTTAAGACTGAGATTTATTTTTAAATAACCATCACAGGCTGATTTCACTTTGAAAACTGGGAAAAGGGTATAATTGTATCTTTTACTTTGTGGAGTTAGCCTCTGCTTGTTCTTCTACAGCTTGCACGCCGACGCAGCTCCCTGTTGTAGTTGTGTTTAATTTTAAATACCATTAACGTATGTTTGTCCTGAGAATTTGTTCTGACGCATCATGAAATTACAGCCTTACGCTCCCTCTCTTTACACTCCTTAAAAGCATTATACATTTAACATAATCGAGTCCCCAGTCTTTAATTCCCCTTGTTCTTGGGAGTTGTAGTACAAAAGAAAAGAGAGGAAGTTAACTTAATTAACTTACTTCCTGTAAGAACTACGATTCCCATGATTCAGTATTACATCCTCCCTCGAGGTAGCTTGGGAAACGCGGAGTACAGTATAGCTGAAGTGGCGTGGGTATTTGACACGGCAAAATGACTCAATTTACGAAAAAAAGGAAATTAGATCAAAGTGTTCAGGATAGTTTGTACTTTGATAGTTATTCCGACGTGACCATCCACGAAGAAATGATTGCAGATAAAGTACGCACCAATTCTTATAGACTGGGTATTTTAAGGAACAGTAAAACGATCCAGGGTAAAGTTGTCCTGGATGTTGGTGCAGGAACTGGTGTTCTGAGCATTTTCTGTGTGCAGGCTGGGGCAAAGAAGGTGTACGCCGTGGAAGCAAGTGCAATAGCTGACCAAGCGAAGGCAATCGTAAAACTCAATAAGATGGATGACAAGATCGATGTTATAAAAGGTACATTAGAGACGACAGATCTACCAGAGGCGGTCGACGTGATTGTCAGCGAGTGGATGGGATACGCACTGCTCCACGAGTCTATGCTGAATTCAGTGATTTTCGCTCGAGATAAATGGTTAAAACCTGGTGGTCTCATTTTACCCTCTAAAGCTGAGCTGTATGTTGCTCCCATTAATGACTTGGTGGTGGAAGACCGACTCAGTTTCTGGAGTACTGTGAAAGACCAGTATGGTGTGGATATGTCTTGTATGTCTGACTTTGCACGGAAGTGTATTATGAATAATGATATCACTGTGAACATGGTTACTGTGGAAGACGTGCTCTCTCATCCTGCGAAATTTGCCGAGTTAGATTTGTACACAGTAACGACTGAGCAGCTTAAACGCGTAAAAGGGTCCTTCACATGTGAGTGTTTTGGATCCTCCTGTGTAAATGCATTGTGCGTGTGGTTTTCAGTGAATTTTCCAGGTGAAGAGAAACCTTTAGTCCTCTCGACTTCCCCTTTCAAACAGGAAACTCACTGGAAGCAGTCTGTTTTGTATTTGGACGAACCGATTGACGTAATGCAGGACACCAAGGTCGAGGGAGAAATAACCTTGTACCCTTCGGAAGAAAGCTCAAGACATATATGCATCCACGTGGACTACACAATAGGAGATCTTAAAAAGAAATCAAAAACATTTACAATGGGGGATGGCTACTCAGACCCTCAGTAAAATAATGTACCGTGATGTCTTGCTGGTGTGCCTGGTCAAGTCTAGACCCTTTTTTATTAAAAAAAAGTCCTGAAACCCACCATGTCTAGAAATAAGTGCTCCTCATTATATGTAAACTTATTTCTCCTTTGTATTGTGATATTTTTTTAACGAATAAAGTTAATGTGTATATGTGAAGTTATGCTGCTTGTTAGAATGTTAAAAGTATTTTTATAAACGAGCTATTAACAAAATAAACCATAAACGTTAGATCAAATTTATTTGTAATCTACTGTGAAACGTTTTGAAGCAAATGTGTGCGAAAGCATTTTCCTGTGTGAGGCTTGTTTGAAGGATGTTAAAATTTTAAGACTATGTAAAAAGTGTGAAATGTTGAAATTGTAAGAGCTTGCTCGGAACTAATTCAAAAAGTGGTCTGTAACAAAATAAAACAAGTTTCAATCCAGATGTTTTTGAGGTCATAGAAATTTGAACAAAACAGTCTTGAAATCGAGCATTTTGTTGTAATCCCAGAATGTGGCTAAATATGAGTTGTTCATAGATTAAGGTTTACTTATTCAGTGCAGGAGTGAGTGATGAGAGAAATACCAAGCAGAACATGTATTAATGAGCCGAAGGACACAAGTAGAAACAACATGGAAATGCATTTAAAATTCAGCTACTTCTTTATTCAAAGGGTTGTGGGAGTGTGGGACAAGCTGCCCTTGTTGAAGTGGTTTGCGTGGTTAAAACTGATACCTTATCTTCTTTCAGGAAATCCTTGGATTAATAAGGTACTGCCAGCCAAAATGGCCAGATGGCCTGAATGAGCTCCTCTATTTTAGAATTGTTCTTATGTTTTATTATTATTATCAACGTTGGGCATTGCTATCCTTTCTCAATAGCTGTACTTGGCCTTTTAGAGATGCACATCACTGCTTAAAACCACTTTTTAAGGATTCAAAGATCATAATAGAGTTGTTAAAATGCATATTGAGTAGCTTTTCAATTTAGTGTACTTTGTGTTTCTGTGGAAGCAGAATTCCTGACTGGGTGCTGTGAGTCAAAAGGAATCTTCTGGAAAACCCCATTGCTGCCATGACCTTTCAACTTTCACCTTGCCCCTTATGATCTTTCAGATTACAATCAGCCTATGGTGGCAATTCTTGGCTATAGTTATAATATATTTGTACTTTCTAGAAGAAAATAGGTAAGACCTAAGATGTATACCATACTTTTGTGTAGATCTATAATAGTACTGTGAAGTACTTTTCTGTAAATGGTACAATCCAATTCTCAGTATGTGAATCCTCAGGTAATTGTAGATGTAATGTATTCAGTGCAGAGTCATTCAATGAAGTAGACACCCACAGGTCCTTATCTAAAAAAAACATGGTTAGTATAATGACTTCTAATGATGCTTGGAAGAAATTTTCTTTTCAAATGTGATCAAAGTGATACCAGAGCTTGATTTTTCTTGGAGACTTGTAATTTATGGGTGTCCTGAGTAAAAAAGGTTTACTGCCAAAAATTGATACAAAAAGCCTAACAGTGCTGGCTGTATCATGAATTATTTGGCCTTTTCCCCAAATGTGCTGTTTTAAAATAACCTCTTCATAGCTTAAACCGTGAAACATACTCTGGCCTTTACATTTTATTTAATGGTTGTTCTGATAATATAACCTTTAGATTTTATATAAGCCTGAAATGGTAACGTGAAGACAGGAAAGCAATAAGACTGGGGCTCACAAAGGCTGAGAGAATATGGCTGTCCTTCGACTGTAATTTAAGGCTGCAGCAAAGGTCCATGGGGGCATGAACTGCTGCAGCAGGAACTGGTAAGCAAAACCCTGCTTTTATTATAGAGTTCAGTTTGAGCTAGCATGACGATGTTTTGTACCGAGATGCTCTTGAAGAAGGCTGATTAAAAAAAACATCTTCGGCACCAGCCACCTTAGCACATGGCTGTTCCAGAGTAACTTTGTTTTTTTGGGGGGATGGGAGGCACAAGGCAGAAGAGAATTCTGGAAAACTCGGAGAGGAGCAGTGAGTTCATCTTATGTTAAATCTTTACAGTGTGTGTGCTGCGTGTGAAGTTACTGGATGATGAATGGTATTCAGATATGTGACAGTATTGTAACATCTACCACTTTTTTTTTATTTGCAGAACTCATTTTGTAAAACCTGTAGCTATTGTAACAGTCTGTGGATTGTGGTATGGGCTGCCACCTCCAGCAATACAGTCTTCTCTGTACACACAGTACAACTGTGTATAACATCCATTGTGGGTCTTCTGACCACTGTAGTGTCCTCTGTTTCTGGAATATTAAATATTCCAATATTCTCAGTTAAGGGGGCTTACAGTGAATTTATCCCTTTATGCAGTAAACGAAAGATTAACTAGCTGACTCAGAACATACCCAAATCCTGAAAGTACAAAGTCAATTATGTGTCATCCTCTGGATGGTGGAAGCTTAACAAGGCTGTGCCTGGTTGGTGTTAGCATTGAAAACATCAATGGAAACAAATTTGTTTCTGTAAGAGTTGTAGTGAGCCAGTAGGTGGCACTATTCCTTGTAGACAACATACTCCAAAGTATATGACAGGAGACAGTCTGCTGTAAGATTTGATATTAAACCAAGGTTCTGACTACATGGTTGTGAAAGATACCATGACACTGTTCTTAAGAGCAGAGGAGTTCTTAACGAGCAAGGGCCTAACCCAGCAATCAATGGGCACAAGGTGAGATACACCCTTGATGGGATGCCTGTTCATCACAGGGCACAAACACAAACTTATACCCAGGCCAGTTTTTACAGAAACAAATTAACCTACCAGCATGTTTTTGGAGGGCAGGAGGAAACTGGAGCATCCACAGGAAACCCATGCAAACATGGGGAAACATACAAATTCCACACAGATAGCACCACTGGAACTGAACCCAGGGCCCAAGTACTGTGAGACAGCAGTGCTAACCACTGTGCCACCCAAGGGATATATTGTTCAATTTATAGAAATACCCTTGTGTGTGGCTTATGTATTCTCAGCATAAAAAACTTATCACTTTAAAAAAATCACAAGATTATTTTCAGGAAATTCTCATGTCTTTAGTGGACAAGCATGTGACTGCTCATTAGGTTCTGATCCCTAGGTGCCACACTTTATCACTGCTCATTCTACAAATATTCACCGTTGCTGAAGTGCAGCAAGTAGGGCATCCACAAATGTATAATTCTCATCCTGCGAGAAAGTCATTGTTATATGAGCGCCATGAGGACATACATTGTCCTACTGGAATGTTGTCATGTCAGGATAAGCCCACAGGAAGGGTAATAACTAAGGTCTCAGGACTTGATCAGTGTTCTGCCCTGCAGTCAGTTAGCCATCAATCACTCAAGTGAAGTTTTGTACAGGCTAGATGTTCCTGCCCCAACCTTAGCTGTTGATTTGTCTGTAATCCACACTTACTGTATCATCTTATTCTGCAGCACAATTACCAATGTCCACTAGGATGGTATTTTCAAAACTTTGATTAATTGCTAAAGGGACTTAGCTGCACTGATTGTGCATTGACCTACGGTGACTTCTTCCAGCTCCCAGACATACAAATGGCACAAAAGCATTATTCTCTTGTTAAACAGGGCATACTAGTTTGTTTCTGCATTTTTCTTTCTTGATTTTTACCTGGCCTGACATTCTAACTGAGGTTAAACCAGTTCCTCACCTGTGCCTAGCCACTCTCCCACTAATGAGGTGGTCCAGGTCTCAAGTCAGTCAAGTGTATCATGGTCGGTCATGAATGATTAATTAACCCAGTGATGCCAAAAACATTTAAGCAATATCCAAAACTTGGTATAATTGTTTTCTGTAAATACACATTAATAAATGGAGTGAAGAGTTATGCTCAGTGGATATTATATACTGTATAGGTAACTATGTGTATTTGTTTTACACTGAAATATTTCTTACTCAACTTCAGCATCTTAGTTGTGAGAAACAATGATCAAAAGAATCTTCTGGTTTACTTTCATTAGTTATGTTCTGAGTAAATGATTGAGAGTGTCAAAAGTGTAGGATAAAAGACAGAAGACAGAACCTAAAAGCTTGTGTCAGGCAAGATTTGACCTTGCTTGAGATCATCTAAAGGACTCGATCGGAGCTAAATGTTTGAACCTTGCTAAGAGAGTTTGCTATTCTGTTGCTTTTAGGAAACTTGGATTTCCTGAGTGAAAAGTCCCTTGGTTTAAAACAACCTTTCTTGCTTAGTGGGTGCATTTTAGAATAGGGAACTACAGTAGCCTCCCAGTACTTTTGTGGAATCTGGGCTTGCAGACTGAGAGATTTAATTGTAGGATGTATCTATTAGTTTACAAGGCAGCTTATCTCTTATTATGGCCTTTGTATTACGAGTTGAATACTTACTAAGAGTCCGAGATTTTTCTGTATGGTAAGGATGTTAGGCCACTGAGATGCTTTGTCTGTAAACATGTACTGCAAATAGGAAAACCTGTGTGCTGTATGTTTATCTTGTGTGTAGTGTAGTGTTTGTAGTGTAACTGTGAATAAATATGTGTTCAACTAAGTGTGCTGGAATTATTACTCTTTTCTCCAAAACTGCCAGAGAACAAAGCATTTACGTGCCTCTAACTATACCAACCGTTTGGTTATATTCCTGGCAAAATCCTTACAAATTGGGGGTTAAGATTATTTATTTTTCTTATTGAGGTAGCCACTTGGTCAATTCCTGTTATTCACCATTTTGTACCCCCCCATTCGTAACAATATACTGTATATACAGTAATGTAATGATGATGCCTATGAATTGACAACACAAACATTACTCTATTAATAGGCTTTTGAAGCCTATTTTTTAAACTATAGATTCCATCTGACATATTTGTTTCCTAGAAAGTGTTGCCAACTGACTTTTATTGATGCTGTCTTACTACTGTAAATCATTGAGACGCTTTCAAGCTATATTGATAAACTAAGTCACCTTAATTTATATTGCCATAGTAGTAAGAATGCTTTTAAGTAAATTAGAATATCTGTGGGTGTAAATAACCATTTGTAACATAATATTTTAGAAGACAGTCATGAATAAGTACATATGATACAGTACAATACACGCTCTTGTAAATAGTAAATCCTTAAACATTGAGAGCACATAATATTTAAGAATCACACTGAAGTCATGTTATCTTCCCAGATAATGAAATGTAAACTTGAAAGAAGTACAAATCCAGAAATATGCGCAATATGGAAAACTAAAAAAGGAAAACACAAATTGATACAAATATAATGTCCCAGTGTGATAAGCTGTGATCACCTAGAAAAAAAAAACAGCACAATGATGACATGTAAGAGACTGGTTCATATAGATCCCATTTTTAGACAGTAATATAATCCACAGAAAAGTACATTATGTGGTAGAATGTTTCTTAAATTATTTTTCCCTGTATTTAG